GCTCTACCCATATGAGCAGCAAAAAGACGTTTTTAGACCAAATATTACAGATTTGAACAAATACGCACAAAAACATCAAAATTAGCACAGTAACAGTACTATATAACATTTTAAACACACTCTAGACAGTTTATCAGCTAAAAAAAGTTAATTTTGGGGTAAGTTACTCTTTAAATTTCCAACAGCTGTATTTTTTACATTTATATAAAATTTCCTTTTTGGTTTTTGGCCAATAAAGAGTGATATGAAAAGTGAAGTTAAGGTTTATTTTCACTTCTAAAGGTTTTGATGTCCAAACGCTACGGAAAAACAGGAAAATTCACCTTCACGGCTCATGCCTCTGGTCAGCATTACCTCTGCTTCCAAACCAACTCCACAAGGTTTGCCGTCTTTGCTGGAGAAAGGCTGGTAAGACAATGGAAAGCAGAGCAAAACACAAAATGAAAATAGAGTAAAAATACAGTAAAAACAACTAGATATCCTATCTATTTTGCTACACAGAAGCTACATTTAGACGTTCAGATGGGAGACCACTCAGTTGTCCCCGGTGCTGACAGGACCCAAAAGAACTTGGAGACACTTGAGAACAGTCTCAAACACCTGAGAGAACAGATGATTTTCATCACCAAGCACCAGGAGTACCAGAGGGTAAGTTTGAAACAAAAATACTTAGAACATGTACAWTCCTGTCTAACCCAATCTGTAAAAGAAAGCAACATTTACATCGAAGTACATGTGCAAAATGACACGTCAAAAGAACAAAGTTGTGATTCATTTGCTTCTTTTCGTGTTATGTTCTGATATGTAGGAGAAGGAGGAAGTGTTTCGTCAGTTCAGCGAAGAAACCAACAGCAAGGTGTTGTGGTGGGCTGTGGTGCAGACCTCCATCCTGCTGTCTGTCGGCTTCTGGCAGATGAAACRACTCAAAGACTTCTTCATTGCCAAGAAGCTGGTGTGAATTTGAACTTCAGCCGGTCGATAAGACACACCAGTTGCTCCTGTGCTCGCCATAAACATACATGTAGCAATGCATGTGATTGTAACTGAAAGAAAATACAAAATAAAACATATTAACACGTTTAAATATGAACAAAGTGTTACATTTAAGACAATGCATGGATAATAAAATAAGGTTTGGAAGAAAAATCTCAAAATAGTAATACATTTTTAATATGTGTTTTCATAATGTTTACATATTTTATGACATAAAACAGCCTATTACTATTACAACTGAACACACAACACTGCGAGCTACTTGATGAATAAAAATATATTAATAAAAAAACATTAAGCATTTCCTTTTCTTCTTTTTAGCTATTTCATTATGCGCATGATGACGCACTTTCTTACCTGACATTTGCACTGGCTTCGTCGAAGCTAAGCTAGCTAGYTGTTAGCTAACCGCGACAGAAGAGGAAAAAGGAGAATCGTTTTTGAGAGCATTACTTGCAGATTAATTTAATTTTAAACAACAAATATGTAACCTGGACCGACWGTTCGAGTATTCATTTTGCTTATAAACTAATCCTAAGCCAAAAGGTAAAGTTAACTTGAATATGTTTTTTTTTTAAAAAAAAACGCAGATTATGGTCCTCATTTGTTAAGTTATGCTAATATAGCTAAATGCTATAGTAGCTTCAATACCAAACATCAATCATGAATCCACATGAATGCTGAATTCGATACTGAAATATATAAATACTTGTTTTTTTTTTTATTTGCTACCTCAAGTACAATATGTCGTAGAAAGTAATTATCTAAATTTTATCTGCTTTCAGGTTTTCAAATGTCTTACTGGGTCTGCTGCAATTCCTGTTTTCTTCCCCCAAGTTCTGAGCGCAAACTAGCTGTTACTACCTGTGGCCATGTCATCTGTAGTGTCTGTTATCAGAAAGGTAGACAAATCACAGTCAAAACAACGTTAATAATGTTTGTATTTGTTAGGGCACTGAATTGATTTACATTACAGCTGTCTGCTGGGCCAGCAGMGTAGTTAAACAGGGACATCTGTTGGGCATACAGCGAAATTACACACAAATGGCCACCTATCATCATATTAATATAATTATCCTTTAATAAATATACACTCATTACTGACATTAATCAAGTTTATAAGTCACATATCGGTGTCTCTGATGGGTTCTTTTTTAATTCAAGTTTGCTTTATTCTAAAGCTAATATAAGCTATTATTTAATGTTTGTTCTCAGACAGTTAGCCTCAGCATTTTTAACTCAAACTTACTGAGATTACAAGTTTTATTGCTTTAATTTCACCAAGAAATTCTGGCAATCTTTTCGCCCCCTCAGGCAAGCAAGGCAAGTGTTTAATATGCAGTGCCCAGTGCCAACTATCGCTGCTGTCTGACAAAGTGAGCATCTTATTTTCCATCCTTCATTGCTCAAAGTACCAAATGCCTTAAAGAAGAGACAGAATTTTAAAACTTGCGTTGTGAATTGCCTTTGTTTCAGAGCAGCTCCGATGTGAAGGCTTTGTTTTCTGACATCAACGTCGTGGCAACCAAACACCTAACAGAAATCAGCAAAGTTAATTAATTAATTTTTTAATTACATCACATTGATGCAGTATGTGTTTTGCGGTGCGCGTTGGGACTAAGTCTTCCATTTCCTCAGGTCCTAACATTCCAGGCAAGACATCAAAAGAGACTGCTGACTTACTACCAGAAAAGGGTTGGAGGCGTTTATTATGCTGTACTTATTACCATTTTAGTTTAAATGTAGGTTTTCTATGTGTTAGATGTGTATTTTTTTCTCTTTTAAAAATTGCCCTTTCGTCTTGTTGCAGTATGAGAAACTAGAGGAGKTTTTGCACAAAATGAATCAAGAAAAGCAACTCATGACAAAGTAAGTAAAAGCCATATAGTTTTAATATCCAATGTGTACGTTAAAAAATGAAAAGTTTTTTTGACTTATTAATTATGTTTTCTTATTTTAAAAGGAAACTGAATGAACAGAGTGTATACATCGCTAAACTGGAAAACTCTCTTCAGCATCAATGGTACAGTTCTTTTGCACATTTTATTACTCTACATTAAATATATAAAGTTACATACAGTTTGTTTAGTTGTAAAAGCAACTATTCTGAATGTTAGCTAATTATTCTGTCTATTCACAAACTCAACAATGTTAAATAATCTAAACTTGCACTTGTAGCCAGGGATTATTTGGCTATGTGTTCATTTTTATTTTATTTTATTTTTTCATTTTGCAGACACTGTATGTTTGTACAGCAGTGAAAATATCAATCTTAAAAACAATAATTTAAATGACTAAATAAAGATCTAGAGGCAGTTAAAATGTTAGAAACACATTTCCAAAACGGTCACTAGGTGTCACTCCTGACCCAATAATGTAGACGCTTGTACAACCAGGACTGATTCAATATAAAGTGCGAGATGTTTCAGTTTAAAACAATGATTTAACACCATATTATTTAATTAAAGCTGTTAATGTAAAGGTAAAAAAGCAAAAAATGCATATTAATAAGTATCCGTATAACAGTTTAACAATTAGTTTACATTGTTGTTATGCTTCTGCAGAATTTTCCTACACTAACACAAAGAAATACTAATATTTCAGTAAAATGTTGCTTCAGATGCAAAGCTGCACGCGTCTTTCTTWGAACTTTTGCACAAACCTTGCTTGCTACTGTACACAGTACTTTAAGCCTCTGTCAGTCTGTCATCGCTGGATTCAAAGCAACAGCTGTGCTGCTGCGAATGCTGTTGTGTTACAATCATTTACCATTATTTATCACTCTTACACAGCGCCAAGTCATCATCTGGTTCTCTGATCAGCCACAGTTCCCACACTCCACATGGACATAAGCCAGGTAAGCAGTTGTGTTTTTATTAACGCACATTATCACACCAAAGATTTATAAACGCTCTAATCTGATATTTACAACATTAAAAATCATTGTTTTAATATTGTTCTATACAGTATATGATTATGTAATTGTAATACTGTACATAATGTCATAATATGTTTATCAGAATGTAGTGCTTTTTTCTCTTTTAAACTACTTGAGTGGTAAGGCAAAATATTAACATCTGTCTTTTGAAACTGTTTAACTCATTTTCATTGTACCTGTGAACAACTGGCATGAGTTAAAGTTTTCTGAAACAAGTCCATCCACTGTGTAGCGGCAGCCCGTACTTTCTGTCACTTATGGTTTGCAGAACATTTGTAAGAGTTTCTTGTTTGACTTTAGTCCTGCAGATCCCATATAACTCACCAGTGTCCCTCTCACGCCACTCATCCACAACTAATATGTAAGTATTTTGTCCTTTTCTGTCCATGTCATTAACACTTTCTCCCTCTCTCTTTTTGATGCACACAATCTTCAGTTYGTTATTATGCTCGGTGCCTCAGAAAAACTGAATATTTGGAGGTATTTTACTCTGCTGAACGTAATACCTCAGGGTCAACCTGATGTCTTATGTCAACTTTAACTGTGTTTAGTTCTGCCCTGCCCTGTGGCTATCCACAGACAGAGTCATAACTGAATAATCCAATTTTTGCTTGGCTTTAGGTAAGAATCCTTATTGAGTTTCCTGCGCAACATTGACATAACGTTGATTGGGTGTCAAATTTATTAGCCCAAATGTTTTCGTTTYAAATCTAATAAAGCTTTAGATGCTAACCGTGAGCAGCACAGATGATTGATACCAGATTTGGACCCCGTTTGTAAATGTTTTATTTAAAACAAAATCAGTTTATTTATTGTAAATGAATACTGCTGTTTGAAACAGTCRTGAAACATAATGATAGTTTCATTAAGCTTCAGTAAATGTATCAACTTTGTTGCTATTGTTGCTTAAACATCTCAAGGTCCTAGATATTATTTGAAGCCTTAGAGATACTGTATGTTTTGACTATAACTAATATAAATATAATTTTCATTATAGATGAAACCAATTTACTTTACAAAAAATTGCAATAAAGTTATTAAAGTGCCTGTGACATCAAATTTTTGCAATAAATATGAATGCATTTTTGGAAAGAGAACATTGATAGCATATTGCAAAAATRATTTTACACTGCTGAGATGAACAGTTGTTGAGATATTTGCACGTGAAGTAACAGGAAGTGATGTCAAAGGGGAACGTCTGCATGTAAACAGAGTGTTGCTACAAGGCTAACAACATGTAGATTGTAGAGAAGAATCTGATGTTTCTTTAGATTATTTTGAGTCACTATCAAAGAGATGAAGAGTCAGAGTTCAAATTATTTTATAATTGTAAATTATCCATCCATCCATCCATTTTCTTCCGCCGATCCGGGGTCGGGTCGCGGGGGCAGCAGCTTCAGAAGGGAGGCCCAGACCTCCCTCTCCCCAGCCACTTCTTCCAGCTCCTCCGGGGGAACTCCAAGGCGTTCCCAGGCCAGCCGAGAGACATAGTCCCTCCAGCGTGTCCTGGGTCTTCCTCGGGRCCTCCTCCTGGTGGGACGTGCCCTGAACACCTCACCAGGGAGGCGTCCAGGAGGCATCCTTACCAGATGCCCGAGCCACCCCAACTGGCTCCTCTCGACGTGGAGGAGCAGCGGCTCTACTCTGAGTCCCTCCCGGATGACCGAGCTTCTCACCCTATCTCTAAGGGAGAGCCCAGCCACCCTGCGGAGGAAACCCATTTCGGCCGCTTGTATCCGGGGYCTCGTTCTTTCGGTCATGACCCAAAGCTCATGACCATAGATGAGGGTAGGAACGTAGATCGACCGGTAAATGGAGAGCTTCGCTTTCTGACTCAGCTCTCTCTTCACCACGACGGACCGGTACAGCGCCCGCTTTACAGCAGACGCTGCGCCAATCCGCCTGTCGATCTCCCGCTCCCTTCTTCCCCCATTTGTGAACAAGATCCCCAGATACTTAAACTCCTCCACTTGAGACAGGGCGACCCCCCTGACCCGGAGAAGGCACTCTGCCCTTTTCCGGCTCAAGACCATGGCCTCGGATTTGGAGGCACTGAGCTTCATCCCGGCCGCTTCGCACTCGGCTGCGAACCGCTCCAGCGAGAGCTGCAGATCACGATCCGATGAAGCCAACAGGACCACATCATCCGCAAAAAAGCAGAGATGCGATCCTAAGGCCACCGAAACGGATCCCCTCAACACCTCGGCTGCGCCTAGAAATTCTGTCCATGAAAGTAATGAACAGAATCWGTGACAAAGGGCAGCCTTKGCKGAGTCCAACTCTCACCGGAAACGAGCCCGACTTACTGCCGGCAATGCGRACCAGACTCTGACACAGGTCGTACAAGGACCTGACAGCCCGTATCAAATGGCCCGGTACCCCATACTCCCGGAGAACMCCCCACAAGGCCCCCCTTGGGACACGGTCGAACGCCTTCTCCAAGTCCACAAAACACATGTAGACCAGTTGGGCGAACTCCCATGCACCCTCCAGGACCCTGCTGAGGGTGTAGAGCTGGTCCAGTGTTCCACGACCAGGACGAAAACCACACTGCTTTTCCTGAATCTGAGGTTYGACTATCCGACGGATTGTAAATTATGTTTTGTTTGAATATGTCCTGGGGATAAAAGGGGCAGACATTGTAAGATTTATTCTTATTCTGCTACCTTTCATTTTATTTTTATTTTTGATTTGTGTATTTTCTTATTTTTATTGTATATAGTTATTTTTTAATGAAATGAATATTTGTTTTGAATTGAACTGAATATTGTTACATTAAAAAAGAACAGTTTCATTTCTTAAATAATTCCCCTTTGATGTCACTTCCTGTTTCACTTAAGCTGAGCCAAATTCTGAAGAAAATCTGCCAGTTTTATGACAAAATTGGTAAAAGTGTTTGTATTATGCCAAGTTTCTTAAATATAAAGATGTTTTCTTAGACTTTTTGTATTTGACTGAGATGCTTGTCATAGGCACTTTAAGCRGCTTTAAACTTCAGGACTTTGTGAATTTTATACATTGCTTTGAAATATGTTAATGTCACCAGTGTATAGACACCGGTTGCCTTAAAGGAAGCAGTTAAGGCACAACTGTGGTGTTCATTCAGCCAATCCTAACAGAACTAATGAAGTGTGCTTTCCTGTCTGGCAGCACTGAGAACATGGAGGTGGATGAAAGGAGCCTGTTCAGAAAAGTAGGTGCCAGTCATTTGTTGTATTAAAAGAAATCTGTTAAGATTTTATTAGCACCAYGACAGARTTTGGAAMAGGAGGAGTGGAGGTTTTGGATTAATCATCTAATTGTCTCTTTTTAATGTGCACCAGCCTAACTCTGCACCCAGACTTTCACTTATCAAGCCTCCTCAAGAGGGAAGAATTGGTATGATMTCTGCTTTGTTTTTCATCAATCTACTGTTTTGCTTTGATTGACAAAGGCACTTTTTGTCTRTTTGCATGATTGTACATGTGTTTGCTTGAAAACTGATTTCTCCATTCACATATATTGCATTACAAATTTATTCAGACACAACAAGCACCCGAAAAATCTTCAGAAAGTCACTTTTTTATTTCTTTGTTCCCACTTTGTTTTTATTTATGGCCTTTTTAATCTTTCAAGAGATTAGCTTTAAAAGCTAAATAAAATGACAACATTATCAGAAGGGTTTCTGTCTAGGTGTGTAGGTATTATTATTGGCTGTGCCTGACTAATGTAGGAAAATGTTTTATAAAAAGAAAACCAAAACATTTGCTCAGTGATACTTCGTGCTTTTTAAGACGCTTTGCCTCTGATTGATAGAGCTTTAGTTTGACAGCGACGTGTTCCATTTGTCATAGGGTTTACAGCRGCGGAGCTGTGCTCACATGCTCTGRGTGTTTTGTTATGTTTGGTAGCAACTTCTTTGTGAGGTCGTGTGAAGATGATTCACTCATTTATCTTGTCTGCCTGGAGGGYTATCCAAACGACGCTTGTAGTTCGCTCCTGTGGTGGGAGAAGAAACAACGTAATGATTTAATACATGATGCAAATATAATTCTGCCATTTTTTAAAACTTAATGAGTAATTAGTTTTCCTCACAGGAAGTTTGAACTTTATTTATCTGATGTGACGTTTAGGCACTGTCTCTCGGCCTGCTGCGCACTCTGCACACTCAGCCACTGTCAGGTGAGAAATTTTATTCCTTATATTCAATTAAAAAAAATACACCAGCGTCTTTATCTACTCTGTATATATGTTTTGTGTTTGGTTGTCTCATGTGAATGTGAATAAGATTAACTAATTTCATATTTATGTTGCCTTTTGAAAACACAGTGTAACACAAGTCTTACTGTTTGCTTTCAGCCGTTTTCAGGTAACACCCATGACCCCAGAGTCTCCATTTGGCCAGAGTTCTGTGTGGAAGTCCCCGATCTTCAAGCCTCCATCCTCCTTCAGACACTCCATGTCCTCTCTGGTCGGTCTTCCACCCTAAAAAAAAAAAAAAAACACAAACACTGAATAACTATAATGAAGCCTCTAATGGATGTAAACACTGTGGCMACTGACATCTTTGTAGAGGTATTCATGATCTAAGTTGTTACTTTTAACCATTCTTGTAGTAAATGTGTTTAAATGTGTTGTTTTTTTTTTACTTTGTGCTGATGAAATAACACAGAAGGCTTTTTTTCTAGCTAGTGAGCAAATAAACTGATAAAAAAAAATGACGTCTATTTTTTCATTAAAAATATGGCTATAAATGTTTTAAATGTGTTTTTTTAATCTCTGACTCAAATTCATCTTTTACAGATAATTTGATTAAATGTTTCTACATGGAATAAAAGTTCAGCTTATTAACAGGGTTCCTGCAGATCCTTAAAAAGTCTTAAAAGGCATTGAATTCATCAATCCAAAAATAAGGCCTTAATTAGCCTTAAAATTCTTAAAAATGTTAACACATTGTAAATAGGATGACTGTAATTCATCTCAAATATTAAAATAATTGGTAACCTTTTTTATATTTACATGCAGACATTCCCCTTTGACATCAGTTCCTGTTACTTAGATGCAAATATCTCAACAACTGTCCATCTGAGCAGTGTGAAGTTTGTTTTGTAATATGTTAATAATGTTGTCTTTTCAAAAAGGCATTCACTTTTCTTACAAATGTTGATGTCACAGGCACATTAAGGTTTCATCTACAGCAAATTGTGGTTAAGACCCCACTGTGGGTCCTAAAACTCCAAATTTTGGGTCGTTAAACTGACTGCTAAGCTGCTATAGTTAGATATGGATAAAAACAATTGGTTTATTAGCAATATTTGAATACTTAACCAAAAATACTTTGATTCATGAGTTTCTGCCACAGTTTTATTTATTTATATTTTTTTATTTTGTCATTTCTGTTTATTAAGAAATTGGTCTTAAATTTAATTTCAGTTGGCATTAAAAAGTCTTAAATTTAACTTGCTTTAAACTGTAGGAACCCTGATTAAAATATGTATTTTAGCGGAGAATCTTAACCCTTTATTCCAAAGGTGCTGATGTGATGCTCATTAAGCTGCAGCCAGCACCTGTTCAGTTTACAAAGATAAACTGGGATTAAGTTGTGCACAAAATATTACCTCCGTTTACTGGCTTAACCCGGTAACCGTCGGCAAACAGCGACTCTGCCCAGTCCTGATTGAGGTAACTCAGTTTACTGCCCTCACTGTACTGCCATGCCGGATGTAACTTTAGTAATGCGACTTGCTTCTTTTGCCAACAAATCTGCTACAAAACAGCTGCAAGTGAAGACAAAGAGGCGTGTATCCTTACGCAAACATGATATCACCTGAAGTCATTGCAGCAGGAAGAAGCTCGTGCGATAAAGCGGATGGCGAGGATGCGCGATGTGTTCAGACAGGTCGATTCTTTCGCTGCAGACCGGCCGCTTTTTGCCTCTTTTGTCCCCCGTTGTCAGGGTGTTGAATAATGTCTATTGAAGAGGGCTCAGGTGTGACTCTGTGTGTGTTTTTGGACCTGTGCACACAACGTTCTAGTGTGTGTGTGAAGTTTTGTACAGAGTCAGAAGGCCTGATCCTCCTCTGTGCTCTTGTGAGAAGTCGTTTCCTGTTTTTTAAAGGTCCACCTAGAGAGAAACGGCACCCCGGGGCAGCCCGAGCTGTCATGGTGTCACACGTTGACTGGAAGAGGACTAAATCAGTATAATCCTTTCCTTATGCACAGAGTCGTATAGTGGGGGGCTCTGTTCTTGTCACCCCCATTAATGAGGCATGTGTTTTGTGTCCGGTTTGTCTTTTTTTAAATTTTTTTTTTAGAATATCAAAACAAACCTGCAGACAAAAACATTCCATTTCGTTCTTTTTGTTCGTCTTGATTCCTCTGCGACTTTCTCCGGCGCTCGTTCACGCACACCCACTCCTGCGTGGCCTCGGGCGGTACAAATGAGCTCTGCCACTTCAGAGAGCTAAAGAAAACTATTCTGATGTCAGTGGTAATTATTCAACAGCGTGTTCCCACAGATTGTTACCTCTCTCAACCTCGATCCGTCTTTATTTTGTGCGTGCGTGCGTGCGTGTGTGTGTGTGTTCATGAGAGAGAGAGAAGCTTCTCTCTCTGATTCAGACTTCACACTTTGTCACTGCATTTCAGTCTTGTACCTTTGGTGTTGTAAAGTGTAATCCCCCTTTAGGCAAGACATGACATGAACTAAATGATTTCACAGTGGAGCTATTTGTCTTTCCTGAGGTGCACAGAAAATAGTCCTCCGTAAAAAGAAAAAAAATCCACGAGGGAAGATTTATTTCTGAATGTCTGCTCTGGAGCAAAATCAATATTATGATGTGAGTTTTGTACACATATTACTAAAGCATTTTGTATTTCTACTAATGTTTTTGACAGCTTTATGATGTAGGGAGACTGGGAACAGTAGCAACACGCCATTTTTCTCCAAACAGAAACAAGCTAGAGTGACGACACTCGCACTGTACATGCTCAGTTAGATGCCCCACCTTGCAGAGAAAAAGTAAGCAGATTCAAAAACTGCTCCAGGATTTATTTGAAAAAAAAGTTTCTGAGGTACCAAAGTATATATATTTTTTTGCTTAGCTTAATTTTTGTTATATTGTTGTCACAGTTTTTGTAATCCAGCTCAAATTTATATGGTTTAAACAAGTGATATGTTGACTTTTAACTAATATGGTTAGCATGTATCAAGATCAGCTTATTTAGCTAACACATGAGGTTTTATCATGGCTGACAGGAAGGTACAATAAATTCATATAAAAATGAATTGCATAAAATTGATATTAAGACGTTGAAATTAAGTTTACACTTAAAAATGTATTGTGTATTCATGATAGTTTTATAGTTTAAAACTTATCATTGTTTAAGATGTATTTTCTGCAGTTGTTGTTTTCAACAATGGTTTTAAAATCTTATTTTTTCAGTGTAAATTTTGCATAACATAGGCGTACAGTGACAACAGGCAAAACAAAAGTTAATYGCCTCACAAATTGTTCTGTTATTCTTGTTTTGCCAACTATATCTTATATCAATTTGAGTCTTTGACATCTGTATGTAAGGTCTACTCACCAAGGCAAATCTATATTTGTCATTTGATCAAAAAGAATAAAGAAATAACACTGTAATATACTTAAAACTTACAGTTCTTATAAATTTAGCAACAATATAAATATAAAAATAATAAAACTTTTATTTATAGAGAAATATACTGTATTATTAATATGTTGAAACCACCCCCGAACAATGTTGCAACGGTCCCCGGCCCCGGGGTCAGTTGCAACATCTGACTTTTTATTTTCAAATGCAAATTGTGAAGAAAGTACATTGTTTATTCATCTGTAAATGGTTTTAACTATTAACAGACAGATGTAAGTTTGTTGTATTAAAATTTGGTTTGTCTAATTCAAACCTCTGAGTAACAGAGACAAATGCGGGAAAAAAAAGTGTTGCAACTGTCCCCGGTTTCCACTACGGTGAATTACAAGCTGATGACCTCCGCCCATTGTTTTTGCTCTGGAGAGACAGATACCGAAATAGAACTTTCTACAAAAAGATCATATGTTTCTATCGTGTCATTAATTAAACTTCACATTATACAGATGAGTCTGCAGATAGCATCATATTCTACGTCAGTCATGTATTCCTGTGGTGACTGACTGTTGGCTCAGAAAGATGTGCAGGATGTGCGTGCGTAATCTTGTTCAAGGTCTTGTATTTACTCCCTGGTGATGTAAGATTGCAGTTTTAATGATGTACTTATACACTGTGACAGCGAAGACAGATTTATGTCCTTACAACATACACACACGTTGAAATATTGTTTAACAGAGGAACAGGTGAGGGTTAGGGACCTATAGTTGGATTTTCGTCCATCCACACCCAAACTAAAGCAGCCCCACATGTGAAGGCGGGCTGGCTGTTCCCTTTGAAACAGGCCTTTTCCAGCTGGACTGTATACAGTATACATTTCCTTATCATATACAGTCTCCTTACCTTCCCCTGAATGAACGTGCACATTTCTTTGCTTGCATACAGCAACACATGCTCACCCAGTGACTGTTAAATTCTTCCCCTCTTTTACTCCCTTGCACTCACACAGACACAAACTTGGCAGGATGTGGAGGGAGGAAAAAAGGGGCCGAAAGACAACACAGAGATTAGGAGGCTTCTGTCACGGCTCCGTTGCAGACTTTAAAGGCCCTGGCTTCCTTCCCCTCAGCCAGATTTCTTTCTTTTCTCACCATGTCTGTCTACATCCCTCTCTTTTCACAGGGGGAAGGTAAACATTTGGCCCAGGGCGACGGAGAAAAAAAAGGGAGGAAAGGTGGAAGAGGGATGGAAACCGCCTGTTTGCCCCCTTCTTTTGTGTTTTTGTTTTCTTAGTTTTAATGGCGGCTTTGTGGCTGCGCGAGGGATGACTAGAGAGGGAGAGGTATGCAAACAGAACGGGCGTTTCAATGCCAGCCAGGTGTCTGTGTTGTTTCCATCTGGGAGCGTGTGTGTAATGCATGCACGCGTTTGTGCTTTGGGGTAGCCATTTGCACATTGCATGTGCACTTCATTAAACTTTCTCTCGTCCAGGTGAGTGTGTGTAAAGGCGTCTCTTGGGTTTCGATGAGCAGATGTGTGCTGTTTTTTTTTCCAAGTGTGTGTGAATGAGAAAGAGAGAGCTCTTCATGGTCACTGACTCCTTTCACCTGAGTGCTTCTTTCACGTTCAAAAGGCCAGTCGATGGTTAAAAAAGCTCTTTGGGCATCACTAACCACAGCTGCTGTTGACTCAAACGTAAGGAATCTCCTCCGTGGGTTCACACACCCTTTTAAAGCAGCCAACTGCACAACAGACACCCCACCACCACCACATCCTGACAGAAAGCACAAGTCGTGGGTCAAAGGTCAGAACATAGAACATGTGTCCTGGCAGTGGACGGTTTCGTGTCAAAATTCAACTATTCGACTGTACATATGAATTGGGGTAACAAACA